AATCTCTTCCCCCTTGTCCAGGTGATAGGTCACCTGGTCATAAAAGGAAATGAGATTGGTCAAGCAAGACCTACCTGCAACAAACCTGTGCTGGGTATCCCTCAGGATATTGCCTTCAGCTAGTCTGTTAAGGATGGCTTCTTTGAGAATCTTTTCCAAGACCGTTCCCAGGATAGAGGTCAGGCTGATGGGCCTATAGTTTGCCAGATCCACTTTCCTCCCTTTCTTGAAGATAGGCATAACATTGGCCTTCTGTAGTATCTGAGTATTTTACATACTACAGGTAGTCAGTGAAGATTTAAAATGAGAAGTCCATGGGTGAGAGACAGACGGGGGGGGGAGGGGTGGGCAGGGGGATGAATGTAGCAATTAAATAGTGGAGAGGTACCTGGGGAGTCAGATGTCAGCCAGGTCATAATGCGTCATAAATCCAATGTCTATATTTAGTCCATGAGTTTTTGTATCCAGGAGGTTGATGAAGTGAAGTTCATAGGCTCATCTCTGAGAAGTGTTTTGTAAATTCCCTTTAAAGATTAGAACTGAGAGACTGGAGAGAGAGTGGTTTTCTTGTGAGAAATGTGCACCCACAGGTAATTGGCTGTTCTTGTCTTTGATAGATTTCCAGTGTGCATTCATTCTGGTGCGCACTTGTTGTTTGGTCTCTCCTACGTATTTTCCATCAGGGAATTTTTTGCTTTAGATGAGATCTATCACATTTCTGGAGGTGCAGCTGTAAGATGCAGGAATGCTGATGGCTCTGTTGTGGGGTGTAGTAAGTGTGGGGGTAGAGATGTGTTGGCAGGTTTTGCATTTGTTGTCATGGCATGGTCTGGATCTATTTGGTGTGTTTTGGGCCTGAGGAAGTTTGCTTCTGGTGATGCGGTTAGCGAGGTTGGGTGCTTGTTTGAAGGCTAGGATGGGTGGTTCTGGGAAGATCTCTTTAAGAACAGGGTCTCTTTCTAGTATGCGTGGCAATTGTCTGAGGGTTTTCCATATGGGTTCAAGGGAGGGATGATATATCATGACCAGCGGTATGCAATTCGTGGGGGGGGGTTTCTTCTCTATTGCAGCAATTCTACACATGGTATCCAGATGGCTCTTTCAAATGTGCGAATTCTCTCTCTGCAGGAGTGTCCTTGTTGGGTGAAAGCCTTTTTAAGATTGGTGGCAAAGTGAGGATTGTCCTTGTTGGGTGAAAGCCTTTTCAAGATTGGTGGCAAGGTGAGGATTGGACAAGACAGGATTGGAGCTTTCTCACCAAATGGTGAAAGGTACTCATAGCCATTACTGCCACCTGAAAATCCAGGTGTAGTAAGGCTGCAAACCTGAGTGAGAGAAGGCTGAACCCATTCAGTGATAGATTAGATACCCTTATTACCACAAATCACAGATTCTGGCAACCACCATCACTTCTGTTTTGTCTGGATCCAGCTTCAGTTGGTTCACTCATATGCAGTCCCCAACTGGAAGCAGGCAGAGGATAAGGATGGAGACTATGAAGTCTGGGTCAGATGAGGAGGAGAGATAGAGATGGCTGTCACCAGCATACTGATGGCACCTCATTCCAAATCTCTGCATGGTCTTGCATAAGAGTCTCATATAGATATTGAACAGGGGTGGCAACAAGATGGAGCTCTGGAGAACCCCACAGGAAAGGTCCAAAGGGAAAAAATAAGCACTTGCTCATTACCATTGCTCATTAAGAGCAATTTTGCAAAAAACCCACCACACTACATAAATGCATTTCATGGTTAACTGTATCAAAGGCTACTGAAAGGCCTAGTAAGCTCAACAAAGCACAAGTTCCCCTGTCAATTTCCAAGCAAAAAACTGTTGCCAAGGCTATATGCAGTCTTTGTGCTATACCAGGACAAGAGTCAGACTGATAAAGGTTCAGCAATCCGATAGCATCCAGATGTGCCTTGAGTGGTCAGGTGACCACCCATTCAATTATCTTACCCAAAAAAGGAGGTTGGAAACAGAGTGATAGCTGGCTGGGGAGTCAACATCAAGAGATCATTTCTTAAGTGAGGAAAAACACTGAATGGTTCAGCAGACCCTAGAGTGAAGAATATAGATATTCTCTAGCATCTCAGGATGGCATGCAGATGTTGGATCCACACATCATGAAACAGATCTATTATAGACTGTAAACTTCAATTTCACAATGCTGATCCAGGTCTTAAGAAAACCTCCAGCCTTATTATCTCAAAATAATTTTGTTGTTTTTATCACTTCTTAAATTTCCCAGACGTAAAACTTGCTGTTTGTGGAGGAAGAAAACCCATATCATTTTGTTGCATAAAGTGGTGAATTTTTGCTTTGAGGCTAATTCAGGACAATTCTCAAATGTACGCATTTTTTCCATATTCCTGGTGAAAAGCTATGCACATCAGAGGAACTCTGTATGTATTATAACAAATGATATACTCCAAAAGTGCACATTTAAGACTGTAATTCTGTCTCAAGGTTTCACTGACATTGATAAATCACTCAGGCTCTGCTCTCTTGGTTTGTGTCACCAGCGTCCCTCAGCAGACTCACAGTTTCCTCATATAATGTTGTGTGTACAGTACTTTATTTCCTCCATTACAGAATACACTTAATTTAAACAAAAATTAATCCTGGATGTGTAATTTCAAGTCCACGATAAAACACACACAATACGTCTTGCTGTGCATTATTACTCTTCTTGAATCTTTGAAAACTCTCTGCTTCTCTTCATGCCTCTCTCAGCCCCAGAGGTGTGTTACCTCACCCTGCCATGACTTGCTGCATCTTACTGCTTAGCTGGACTACAGTAGATTTAGCTGTTTACTAGTTATTACTTGGATTTGTATAGCTACCCATTTGTGACCAACTCAAATAGTCCAATTACCTATTATACACTATTGTTTTCCTGTCCTTTCTGGTAAAAGAACTCATATGAATGCTGTTAGAAGTACTGTAACTGTTATTATTTATTAGCATTTAGAAGAGTACCCATTTTCATCATTCTATGGATATTATATTAGCTGGTATTACTCAGTAGTAGGTAAGCAGCTGTTATATCTCATCAATACTAAGAAAATCACTTTACTAAATATATTCAAATCCATTTTTATTATATCCATGTGAGTTTCTTGGCTTCTAGTGAGTCTGGGCGTTTTCATTGCTAGGGAAGTATGTTGTCATCAACATGTCTGCCTCCTACTGCAAAGAGATTCAGTTTTTCTCCTCATATGGAAAACACCATAATGCTTCCTAAATGAGAGATTACTATATTGAAAGCAACCCTTCAGCAAATACGTCATCACCTACGTTTTTATATTACAAAACAAATCAGGTTTCGTGTTTATACTCAAGGACGAGCCTCTGTTTCCAGTTAAGATACACAAAATAATAAACTCATTGACTTTGGCCTTCCTTTAGCATAGCTGAAATATTGTTCATGACGGGGAATAGTGACAGCTCCGGAGACTGTATTTCTGTAACTATACGGAGAATATAGTATGGGCAGCAAAGTGCAAACTTCCCTATGCAGCCCTGGCTTATATCTGAATTGCATAGATCATTTCTAGGTTTTAGATTGTAGGTTTTTTTGTCCAGAGCTCTGTAAAGTGGTATTCTGAGCACAGAGCCAAAGGCTTTGCTCTGCACTCAAACCTATAAGACACAGTAATGGAAAACTGAGTAATGAATCTCCATCTGCAGTAGCAGGTGTAGAGTCTTTCTATGGTCATAGCTGCTGAGTTTAAAGATGCAGAATACATTGTTAATTCCTCCCACCATTTCTCATTTGGTTTTGTACAGTCTGTAAAATCAGTGACTATAAATGGGATACTCCCACACATATACCTGCAAAGCCCTTCTGTGCACCTGCTGTAGAGCAGACATACAAGAAAGCACAATTCCACAGGACAGGGGGTGGGAAGGGAAAGAACCTCTTCCTTCACATCTATTATACTATATGGACATGCACTTATACCACGGCCTTCCCACTGCCCCTTATGGAGCACAGGATCTCCCATTTGATCCTTACATTCTTTTGAGAGAAACAAGAGGGCCAATTAGTGACAAATGCAATAATGTTTTCCTAAATTGGACTCGGAGAAACAGGAACTGGACTAGGAGAGAGAACTAGCCATTGTTGAGCCATCAGATGGGAAGGACATTCAGGCCTTCCTGACTTTAGACAGGAATATTTTAAGTATTTAATGGCATGCAGTGATGTATTCCATTATCTATCTCCTGAGGTATCCAGGTTCATAAATAGTTGTTGTTGGTGTTGTAAGAGGAACATAAGTTATACCTTGAAATTTTGCAGTTGTGTTTGTGAAATTTGTGCACGCATTCTTTAAAAAAAGGTCTTATGTCCAAATATACGTTCTCTTATTCAATGGTCAGCATCTGGCCCTTTACAACATGTCATAATCAGAGAAGCAACTCACCTTTTGAGTAAGTAGAGCTTGAACAACCTGATTGGCAACCTGAAAGAAATAAAATAGATGAGTATATTATATTGATTTTGTTTTGGCGATGGATAGACTCTTTTTGAGGAACCTCACTGTTTTGCCCCACAACACTCACTCCTAAATAAAAATTGTTTATGGAGATGACTATAATGTAGGTTATAACATGTAGCCTCAACCCCATTAGAACGAATCTTAAAAACTCCAGAATGACATTATAGATGTTTGCTTTACTTCTCTAAAGCAGGAGGGAGATGACAATGACAATCAGAGGGTCATATTTCTGGCTAGTATACATGAGCATAGATGTAGTGAGTTCAGAGGAGATGAAATGCACCAGCTGAGGATATGGTCATGAATGGTTTCATAAAGCTTAATTGTTTCTTGATTCAATATTGACAAAATAAAACATCTATCATGACAGGCAGATACCATAAAGTGCCACAGAAAATTAAAATACCTACTGACATCAAAATGTGGTTGGGAGGCATTCACAACACACAGTCTAATTGACTTGAATCAGATTACATGCCATTGATTAGTAGTACTGTATAGTCAACAGGGAATTTTTAAATTTATTTATTTTGTACAAACATCCTCTCATTTACACCTGACACCGAGGAAGAAAAATATTTTCTCTTGTTGATGCCTTTAGATAAATGTTTCATTTTAGTGCTGCCATAATCAAATGTAATTTGAAGCTGTACATACACATATTGTTACATTTGCAATATGTTTGTTCAAATTCCACTCAGCAATCTTATAGATGGGTAACATAATCAGAGACATAACTAGCATGTATCAAGGGGCTCCAGTTACAATTTACAGTACAATTTATTTTTTTTAACCTTACAATATAATACACAAGGCTGTCCTTTGGAAGTGCAAATCTGCACTGACTTTCCCTAAAGGTAGTCAATTTTTAAAAAAAATAAGACTGTTCATGTGAGTTGAGTCAGGAGCAGAAAGCTGAAGCTAATTTATTGCTGTAAATAATTCCATTCTTTTAGATCCAGAAGTTGCATTTGATTCATATTCTCATAAAACTGCCTACAATCAATTCTTTTCTCAAACTAGTCCCTAACTTAAGGAAACCTGTGGAGCAAGGGTCACATATAATAGCTCTATACATGATTTAACAGAAGACACAGACTAATAATAGAACTGTAATAACCCACAGGACTAAATATGTTATCTTTGAAATCCACGTGTGTTGACCTATGGGCTTTTAGTCCACATCCAAGAGTGTTCCTTCTGGCATGTACTTCCAATGTCTGTTTGCTCTACCTGAAAATTGAACAGACCACATCTAATACATTATGTCTTTACTTCTTGACGTGGAGTTACTTTAGCAAGAAGGACTACAAGGTTCTTTGAAGTGTGTACAAATCACTAGCAACAAAATTGCCTACAAAATTTTCTCACGGCTTTATACTGCACTCAGTAGTGCAAATGGAATAATCCCCCAGCTGAATACCATTTTCCAATGTGGGTGACTGAAGGTAGGCATCTCAATGAAAGTCGCTTGATATTCACAGCTGCTAATGACCCACAACTCATACTGATCCCAACAGGAGGGACGGGCACTCAATTTATCTGAACATCAGGATGCCATCGTATTGTTTTAAGCACTGCAGCTGGAAAATTCTGTCCCTGTAAGATTTTTCAAGCACAGTGCTCTGACCAATATTTTAAAGCAGAGGCGGTGGACTCAGACAAGCTGGAAGTCTGCATGATAGGACTCTACAGCAACTGTTGTTTATTTAGGAATTGCACTGAAGACAGTCACCAATTAAAGTAATATCCACATTCCCAGAGCTTAAATGTTCTCATCCTTTTCCTCTAATAAAGTCTACGTAATTATATGTGGAAAAGGGAAGTATTTGCTAATTGCAATCATACCTTGTACCTGTACTGCTATCACTTGAGAATGGCAATAAATTACAGCATGCAGTCACATGCCTGTGAGGTCAATACAATCCTTATTTTTTTAAATGGGAAATCTTAGCTTACAGCCAGATTTTATAGGTAATGGATAACCACTTTAGTTAGAACCACAGGTGCTTAGTAAACTGCAGATCTTAAAATGACTTTGCAAGTCTCATTGTTAACACAGAAAAAGTACAGAATATAATACAGAAGTGCTGTTATACATTAGAGAGCAGTGCCAGCCTTCACTTTGGTTGCCTTTCCTTACACTGCGCCACAACTAAGTATTTTAGATTAATTTTCTTATTGTGGATCATAACACAAGAGATAAAAGAGTATGTTACACCTTTTCCTTGCACAGTTATGTTTGCATAAATATATTATGCCGTGGTTTGGAGAGGAAGTAGCAGAAATAATGAGTCAAACTTATGTGAAAAAATATCGGTGTCATTTATTTTTGAAATGTCTACTGTACTAAGCATACATACATTTGCAGAACTATTTCTCTCATGTATGGCTTTGTGCAGCATTTACAAATTGCAAATGTATTGAACAGAAATTTAACATATTTTTCTATAATTCTCAGAGTAATAAAATGAATATTGGAAAAGCCGCTATATTTTAGGTCAACTAATTGAAATGTATAACAACATTAATAAGGCATAATTTAAAGCTATCAACTACCACTAAGGTGGTAATTTGTATGATTTCCTATACCTTGGTATAGTCAAGCTTGACAGCAATCCTAGCTGGCACAATTATGTGAATAAACATTATACTACTTCTTGCCAATAAACTGACAGTCAAATTACAAAATAGGAAACTAGGATTAAGCATGTAAAACTCAAGCCCCAAAGGTAAAAGAAGATAATCCTGTTTCTTACATTATGTTTCTAGAGACAGGAGAGATAGGTTTACAGTATATTTCTGAATCTTAAACAAATGAACTTTTTCTGGTGTGGATAGCATTAGAAAGCTTCAATGATATTTACTTTCAAATACTATTTCAAAGACGTTCATATGTGTACTTTAGAAATGGGTAATTAATTTAAAATCTGTGAATATTTTGTAGAATTATTAAAGAATTAAGCCCTTTAAGGTTTGCCATTTATGAATAGAGGTTTGGTTGAGTTTTATTGTGAAAATGTTCACAGAGTCATAGGTTTGCCAGGGACCCCATGGTTTATCTAGTTCAAGCCCATGCACAAATGCAAGATGCACAAGTCCTAAATTATCTCAGATAAATGTTTATCTAGCCTCTTCTTCAATGAGGGTCATGGAGCATGAGTTTTTTTGTTACGGGGCAAATATTGACACTGAAAGATTAAATGTAGGCTATCGAATGAAG